GTGGGTGGGTGAGAGGCGGGGACAGTGGAGAGGAAGGCGAGGGAACGGACATGGGAATAAGTATGTGGAACCATGGGCATCGTAATGATGGGGGCGGGGGCGGGGATGCGGACGGTGCGCCCGGGAGAGATTAAGTTTGAGGAGGAGGGATGCAGCGTGGGTGCGGGCCAATAGCGTGGGCGGTCTTGGCGATGACAGCGGGGTGCGGATGGAGGAGGTCTGCTGTACTGTGTGCGGTGGGCTACGCGAGTCCACGCCTCGTGTGCGGCGCGCCGGGTGAAATAGCGCGCGCACAGGTCATCTAATCTCGGCATTAGGGCGAGAGCGACAGGATTCGTGGATAGTGCGAGACAGTTGCGAACCCTCTATGGCCAGCGCCCCGCGTGTGCCGTGGCGCCAAGGTGCGACGTTACGCCTCCTTGCAATGCCCGCACGCCGCCTCATATTTTGCACGTATGGCATCCCCCGTTCGGGCACTGCCGAGCGCCTTTTTGGGCGCACCGCCTTATAAAGGACTGGCAGTTCTCCGCAGACGCGCCCTGTAATGCCTCACGCCTCCTGGTCCCACACACCTCCCAGGAGGCGTGTGGGGAGTCCCCACACGGCAATCGCCAGTTGGTCCCCAGTGGGGACCGTGTGCCTACGGTGTGGGTCTGCCTAGACGTGTACGTGACTGTGGTATTTCACAGAAATACGCGGCTGAGGTAAGAAAAATAAAGATAATTTAATGTTGGTCAACCCTTCGACCGAGTTGAGGTCTCGCAATTGTGGGAGCTCGTGTGATCGAGCCACTTCGCCAGCGGGACGTTGAACACTACGCAGTCTAAATTATCTCCTTCCTCCTCTCCCGCTGTTCGAGGGAGGGCCTTGAACATACCGTAAGGGCAGAGAAAAACAGGCAAGTACATCAACCTTATAGTAATGCACTCAAGTGCATACGAAGGTTGCTAATTTCTACAACTGAATATCCTGCTGTCGTCGCGTAGAGCATACGGTATTAGTGGTTCTCGCACCGTGCGAGACGATCGATGTCCTTGCGTGTTCTTGGGGATGTGTGGGAGGGGTGGTTGCGGGAGGGCGACTAGAAATGGGTCTACATTTCACATTTCAGTAGATATGCGGATGTTGCCACCGACGTACCTGCGACACGCAAGTCTACTCAGGGGGTTTAACCCCGCGGCGGGCGTGAGTGGTTCTGGAGATGGGATGGCAAGGGCGTATGGCGGCGGCTACATTTGACTACACGTAGCTTGCGAATGGCAGCCTTTGCTGGATGGGGGCCTTCGACGTCCGCACTGAGCGTTCTCGCTTGGGCAGGGCAGGGCAGGGCAGGGCAGGGCAGGGCAGAGCAGAAAGTAAAAGCCCACTCGGCGTGTGGGGTGTGTCCCTGGAATTGGAGAAAATTTGGGCAAGCAAACACTGCCAGCGAGAGAGAGAGACCTGCAGCAGCAAGAAAAAAAACCCTACCCTTCGAAAGGTACTGTAGGTACGGTACCCTTGGTACCTTTCGAAAGGGTACAGTAGCCCTCTGCTGGCGTCGGGCGGCGATCGGACCGGCGGCATCCGATCCCGAAAAATCTGCGTGTAGAAAGAATCCACGTGGCGTTGACACACAGGAGGCCACTACGACTTGGCGATTGTTGTGACGCTCCCGGGCAGATTGCAATTGCGCCCAGATATTACTGCTGCTACTGTAAAAGCGCCTATTGCTCGTACCAATACTGTATGAGCAGAACGGCTGCACCCTCACGCCCCTCGCATGTCGGCAAAATCATATCTCCCTTTTAGTCGGCAAAATCGTATCTCCCTTTTAGGCGCCGGTTCGAACAATGAATGTCAAAAGCTCCAAAGTTCGCAGGTAACGCCAATTATCGTCCAAGTGTTCATCAGTATCGACTCGATACTATCGAGAGAGGCAGTGACCCTCGTCCGCACGATCCCAAAGGCCCAAAGGCACACTGTGCTGCTATTCCAGATGGCCGAGTCTACCGCCCGCTCACTGCATTCGCCGGAGCTCGAGATGATGTTAACTGTCAACAGTTGCCGTGGATGCCTGTTTGATCAAAACTTTCTGTTAAATATCACTGCGTGCAGTGCTGATCACACTAATTTAGACTAGTTTTCACAGCGGCACTATGCAAGATGTGGCCCAACTGCAGCCCCATACAATGTGCTCTCGCACGACGTGGGTCACACTACCTGTGGACAAGTGCCAAGTGTCTCCACCTTGCAAAAGAAGGGCACACAACACATGGTTAGAAGGGCATGCCAATGGCCGTTGCGCAAGGAACAGGAATAAACGCCGCCGAGATACGTATTGTGAAATAATCTGCCTTCAGATATGATGCGTCACAAGATCGCATGATCCGCCTCCTGGCAGTATGGAGCAACCGGTGCTGCGCCGCGCATACCCCACCACCGTTAAAACGGAACTGAAACGTCGCCTGCTCCCGTTTCCATGGCGGCGAATCCACCCCTGATTGATATTTCTCCCCCGGATCGCCTGGTGCCCCCCTTTGCCACGGACACGCGTCCCCGCCGACCGTTTGTTTGGCTCTCCGCTCTCGCTCGCCAGAACTCCCGCATCGTGTGGCCCTCCCATCTCTCTCAAGCCCTCCCATCTCTCTCAATCCTCCAATCTGCGGAATCTTGTCCGAGATACCGCTCCCACTCTCCAAAACCCCCGAAACTAGCACCTACGCCCTCATTTTCGTTTTCCGCCGCTCCACGTCCACATTCGCACATGCACGCCCCATTTCCGATCGACATAAAACCCAAATCCTCTCACGGTCCGACCAGCCTTGTTAGGCCTTCGGTTCTGTTAGCGATTACTCCCGTTCTCCTCGTTTGACAACACTTCCCTTCCCCTCCCCCCTCCCCCCTCCCCCCCCACCTACCCCCGGTTCCCCCCGACACCGGCTCCTTATCCGCCGACG